ATTCCTTCTGACTGATTGGATTTCTGAGGTCATGGGAGCAGGAGAACTGGGCTCTTATGTACTCCCTGTGTGCCCATGAGTCTGTTCTGGGATCGGCTTCTGAGCTGCCCCGCATAGTTGAAATACTAAAGAACTAACAGAGTCCAAGCATGAGAGCAGTTGGCACCAGGTTGAAGTCCTTGAAGTCCCTGATCTCTTGAAAACAATGAGCCAATGTCACAACACATCCATGAAGGACCACAGAAGCTAGTTAGTGCCAATATCCATTTTTGAGTAGCGTAGAGAGAAAGAAAAACATCAGGTTGTGCAGCAGGAGCTAATGGAACCCTATACTGGTAGGCAGGACTATGGCCCTCCTCCAAAGGCCCACCCTTCAATGTCCAGGTCCTGAATGCATGTCAGGATGAGGGGAGTTATATTCGTAAGTGGATTTAAGATTTAGAGTATCCTGGATTACCCAAGTGGGTAGAATATAACCACATAACCCCGAAAACTGGCGAGGGAAGATCTCAGAAAGAGTCCAAGGCAAATGTGGTCACAGAAGCAGCTCAGATGCAATGCTGCTGGCTTCAAAATTGGAGGAAGGAAGTCAATAGCCATGCCTGTGGCCTCTGGAAGCTCTCAAGCCCGAGAGGCCTCACCCAGGACCAGCAGAAAACAGCGTCCTGTGCATGTCAGACTTTGCAGCCCTGGCAAGCAATTTTGTTGTGTAAGCCACTAAGACTGTGGTGATTTGTTATAGCAGTAATTTAAAGCTAATTCAAATGCCTTCAAAATTGCAAAGAGAAAATGATTTTAATCCATTACCTAAATTCAGACACACTACTGAATAAGTATGAATTTAAGCCCATTTTCAGACAAATAAGCTCTAAAAAAATACGAGCACCTAAGCACCTTCTCTTGAGGAAGATGTAGCCTTTCAAAATAAGGGAACAGACCAAGACAGAGGACCCTGGAAGCTGCTGGGCTTACCCGGTAGCAGGTAGCAAGGCGGCCCTCAGAAGCAGATGAGGGTATAGGGAATAAGCCTGTCAGGGTGGGGACTTGAAGATGCCATGGGAGGTCCGACAGCGCAACATAGGCCAGCGGGATAGCTGGTCTCCTGAAGCTCACACCACACATTGGGATTTTAACTATTGTTAAAGATGGGGGAGCGTTAGTGCCAGTGGCCCAGAAGTCAAGAGCAGAGGCAAACTTCAACTCCAAGTGAGGAGGTTGCGCCGAGAAGAGAAAGATGATGGCCTATCCTTATTGTCATGACAGTGAGCTCTCCTTGCATATCGAAAACAGTTTTACTAATTTTTTGAGAATTTCATACCCCCCTACACCTCCCTCTAACTTTTTCTGTAAACCGTAGAATCCAATTTGTACTTCCCATGTACTCCCGGATGTGGGGCCATACCTGGAGCAGGGTTGACCAGAGTCAGCCCTCACTCTCCCTCACCAGCTGTCAGTCACCAACAACTCCTCAGCTAGGGGCGGGACTTGCTGACACCCTCCCCTCCACAGGGGGATTCTGTCAGGCCAGATCCTGCACAAGGCTGAGCCTGGGAAAACCCTGTCCCTATACAGTCTTCTGCCACCTCTGGCTCTCCCAATCTCTCAGCTCCTCTTCTGAGAAGATCCCTGGGCTCTAGGAGAATATTGTAATGATTCAGATATGGGCGTAACCTGATTAGAAAGAACAGGGTAGAAAAGTGAAGGCCTGGGCTGTTGGAGGAGGAGGCTGCTTGTTGGTTCCCGGCCACCCAGCTAGCTTAGACTTGAAATAATCACACAGAAACTGTATTAATTAAATCACTGCTAGCTTCTTATTGGCTAACTCTTACATATTAATTTAACCCATCTCTATTAATCTGTGTATTGCCACGTGGCAGTGGCTTACTGGGCAAAGTTTCAGCATGTCTGTCTCCTGCAGCTCCAGGGCGTCTCCCTGGCTCTGCCCTTCTTTCTCCCAGCATACAGCCTACCTTTCCCTGACTAGTGTTGTTTGTCCCTGCCATAGGTTCAAAGCAGTACTTTATTCATTAACCAATAAAAGCAACACATAGACAGAAGGACCTCCCACACCACTGGGCCTCTGGCTCTCTATTTTCATTGGCTTGCTGTTTGGGCCTTTTATTGGTGGGTTTAAAGGTGTGCAAGTCACAGGGTCCTAACTAGATTAATTGCAGTCCTTGGTCTATAGCCACTCTAAACAGGAGTCCAGTGTGATCTGCTCTTTGCTATCTGGTGAGTGATTTAATTAATTACTTTTACTACTATGATACCCTACTGCCCGAAACCAGAACAAAAACCTGTAGAAGAACCCATACCTAACTCTGTGGCCCATGTCCTGTCTTGAGACCAGTTCTTCACCCCAACTGTGATACTCAATGTCATGAGTCTCATGTCTCTGGTGCCTTTACTGTCTCCTCATATGCAAACTGAGCATCTTAGTTCTTGACCAATCTGACAATGATCCCTGCTGGACTGGAAGCAGGTGTATTGGAGAGGTTGTTGAAACCAACCACTTTGCCCCTTCATAGCTGTCTGTGAGACTGTTTCCAACAGCTCTGGAAGAGACTCAGCCCAGGCTTTTCTCTCATTAAATCCCACTGCTTTGCACCATTTTTCCTCTCTTCCCTAACTACAATTTGAAATTGGCCCCAGAGGGTACGTGGAGATGCTAAAGATGTTAATGACCGGTCTCTGGCAGCATGAGTCTGCTAGCTTCAGGCTCCACTCTGAGACCGGCCTGCATGCTCCGTGAGCCTTCTCAGATTCCTCGGGGCCAGGCAGCCATGGTGGACTCTGCATTAGTTACTTAGTTATTTTGCTTGTTGATGTTGCCGGATGTTTGTCGCAGCCGCTTGAGGAAGGATTTGTTTGGGCTCATGGTTCCAGGATATAGCCCATCATGCGGAGAAGGCAGGGCGGCACATTGTTCCATGGTGGTGAGAGCGGCTTGCTCGTATCTCAGAGGACCAGGACGCAGAGAAGCGAATGCTGGCCCTCCAGTAGCTTCCCCTTTCCTCTCTTCAATCGGTCCACCCGCCCCCTCTCCTCGGCCCACACAATGGATTATGGTGCTCACCTCTGAGTGGGTCTTCCTTCCAGGGTAAATTCTCTCTGGAAGACCCTCATCGATACACCCAGAGACCCGGAATGGTTATTGACCTTGGCAGCTTGCCAGGGTCTTATGGGTACCAGCATCATGGGGATGACTCTTGCCAAGTCTGTGTCCTGGAGGCAGTGGTGCCATGCTGCCTGACCCCCGACCCACTGACCCCTGATCCGTGGAGGCTTTAGGACTCACTCAAGTATTTCCCAAACTATGTAAATCAAGCCCTAGTTTTTAGGGTTGCTAACATATTTCGCCCCCCACCCCAGATAAAACCTTGCCATTAAAACACTGGAGAATATGAGATCAAAATAAAAACACAGGCTTCTTTGCCATACTTTCACAGAACTTGACCTCCTAGATGGTGATATTTTCAGTTTGGATTGTTGTCTTCAGAAAGATATCTACGTTTGCTGAGCCTCAGTTTCCTTCTCTGAGACACAGAAATACTGATGACCACCCCCATAGAATGCAGGGAGCGTGCGACCATGAGCTGGAAGCCTCTGCCAGCCGCTGCCTGAGGCAGCGTCCACACATCCAAGTTCCTATCTCTTTTGTCTTTGTCTTTTCTCTTCTAGGTCACCAGGGCCCCATCATTGACCTCTGTCTTTAAAACTGACCGTAACCGTCATGAGATGGCCCCAGGGGGTTTCTCTATAGTGGACCCCAGGCCTAGTACAGCATCAGTCACAGGACACCCAGGGGAGGCTGTCTACTGGTGCTGCCTCTGGGAGCAGGCTCTTCTCAGTCACTAGAGACAAATGTTGCTTGGGGTCCAAGCGTACATCACAGATGTGCCACCCCCAAAGAGGGCAGGGCAGCTCCTGCCAAAGAGTCAGAGTCTCTCCACTCTCTCCGCTGTCTCTGCACCCAGGCTTCCTAAGCTAAAGGTCTGAGCTTTGCATTGAGAATCTCTGTACTCTTCATGCAATCCACGCCGATCCCTGTTTTTAAGGTCACCAACTGTGACACGGTCACCCATCCAAGAAACACAGCCGGCACACGGAGGAGAGATTTTACTGAGCCTAGAGAGATTTACAATGAAGCACACTTTACAGCAGACTGGAGAAACTCAGGCTTCACAAAGACAGCGCTCGCGATTACCAGGCACGTTTGCTCAGGAGCACACAGGGACCCAGGACAGGGAGCAGATGGGTGACAACAGGAGACCCAGACCTCAGGGCTGACTCTGTGATGTGGCGCTACCTCTAACAGCCCGCAGGGAGGTGTGACTAAAGATTTTCCCACAGTTCCCGGGGAAGACACACTGTAAGTCCCGGCGGCCTGTCCTCAGGCTGGAACATACCCTGACTCTCCTGACTCTCCACAGCTCACAGTCACTAGCTGACATCACAGGGGTCAGGACAGACACAGAAGCTGTAGCCCCCTAACCCACTTTAAATTTAGAAGTCTCTTGCTGGCCTCTCCAAGTCATTTTTTAAAAAATCTGCTAATACATATAATCTTGGTAATTTTTCTAGCATTCTCATGAATAGACTAGTTTAAGAAACTCCCCTCACTCGCTATAGGGACACAGCTACAACCAAGTTGTGCTTCAGTTAGCAACTGAGACATCTAAATGAGTCTTGGATGAGATGCTCCTCCCTCCGACCTCAGTCCCCGACTCAGCTCCATAAAGGTGGAGCTTTCGCTTGTCTCTGAGACCTCTCTGCGACGAGATGGGAATCTGAACTAAGCACAACAGCCACCAAGCTGCTCTGGGCCTGGGGGGCAGATTCTGTCCCACCCGACACGTCACTCTCTGGGTGACACTGAGCCACTGAGAACACATGCAAGATGATGCGAAAACTGGCTGTCTGGAATGAGATTTCTCTGACAAATGGGCCCTTAAGGAATAGAGCCGCTTTAAGAAGCCCATAGGTTTTTGGAAAATGACACATGAATTTTTCAGGTGCTGTTGACAGGGAATCTTGTTTCAGGAATTGGTGTGAAAAAAATTTCATCTTTCAGACAACAAAGAGAAATGTCCTGTCTAGACGGTTTGGGCAGATGAGGTGTCAAAGCACAATTATTCCAGCTCATTGGAAAGCAAGCTCCCTCATTGCCCGTGAAAACAGAACTCTCTCTCATTTTCGGGGGCTGGGGGAAGGGGTCCTACCTCCCAGCTCCTTGTACTGCTCCTTTTGATGGCTGCTGCCAAGGAGAGGGCCAGGCCCCACCCACCATTGGCTGCAAGATGGAGCCAAACTTTAGCTTGCCCTCCCTTCCCCTCCCCTCTTCAGTTATGCTGAGGGACCCCACTCATCATGGGGGGTTCAGGAGTACTGTGATGTACTTCCATTTCTTGCTAATTATTACAATCTAAATGGACACATGGAGTTCAGAATTTTAGAGCTACAAACATGTACACACACACACAGAGGGCAAAGTTACAAATTCACAGCACATTAATAGGCATTTTTACAAATTGATGGGCTAGCAGGGTGATATTCATTCATTCCTGTACCTTTCTGAACATTTTTTTCTGAAAATGGTAATGATAAATTATTTCTTTTTATTTTAAGAAGCCAAAATGGGTCCTGTCTGATCACGGCCATTGAAGATGTGTGATTACGCTTGGTCCAGTGACTTCCCGAAAGCTTTTGTGCCGTTCTTCCCGGCTAGTGAAGCTGATTTCTGGGCACATGGATCAGGCCCACCAATAGTTCAGGTCGCCTGTGGGTGTTCAGTAGTGGGGAGGGCAAGGTGGCAGGTGCTGGGCTGCTGGGGGTGGACTGAAGGGGCTTTCAGAGCTCTCTCTCAAAGATCTGGGCACAACACCTATGGCACCTTCTAGGTGGTTTACACATCAGATTGCGGGGGAGTTGGGGGGCGCTGGACAGACTTCTAGGAACCCAAGCATCTCACTGCTTCTGTAGGACTTTCCGACACTGAGTATCGAGTCCATTGTGAGAGGACACAGCCTTTCCCCACCTCGTCCTGCTTCCCTTAACTCATGGCCACAATGGGCTCCACGGAGGACAGATCTGTCTTCCCAGACTGGATCTGGGTAGAGGGCAGGTGGTGATTGGCTAGCAGAGCGCTCCGACCGTGGCTCTTCTCTGTCCACGCCACCCTGAAGGAAGGAACTGGGGAGGGAAGCCTGTCTTCCTGAGGCTTGGGTGGCCTCTGGCACATGCTCAGCAAGGCCTTTAGCTCCACCCTGAAATTCTCATTGAGCCAGCAGTAGATGAAGGGGTTGTAGCAAGTGCTGCTCATGGCAAACCAGTGGAAGGCAAAGTAGAGGGCGTTATTGGTGTGGATGGCCTTGCTGGAGAGCAGGAGGACGTAGCAGTTGAGAGGGAACCAGCAGAGAGCAAAGAGGACCACCACGAGCACCAGCATCTTCACGGTCGTCTTCTTCTTGCGCCGCAGGGCCAGGTACTGCTCCGTGGTCACGTCGCCAATGGTGTTGCACAGCCACAACTTCTTGGCCACACGGGCATAGGCCACCGAGATGATAAAGAGTGGGAGGAGGTAGAGCAGGATGAAGGTGGCCAGGTCCAGGTACTTCCAGAAGAGGTCAGCCGGCTCTGGGAAGTCCGGCAGGCAGAGGGAGCGCACAATGTCCTCGCTGGACCAGAAGGGAGGGAAAGCATAGGATGGGGACGGGGCAGATGGAGTGGGGAAATCAGTATCTCCACTTCCTCCCTACCCCGGGCTGAGCACATCTGCTACAGATGTTTTGACACTGTGGCCTAATCATCCCGGCCTGCTTCGGTCTCCCAACAAGGTAGGGCCTTTAATAGAGGTAGAAAGACTCCAGACTCCGTGTTTCCTGAACCTAGCATCATGCCTTGCACACAGTGAGCCCCACAGAATGAATGAATGAATCAATGAATCAATGGACACGGAAGGAAGGAAGGAAGGAAGGAAGGAAGGAAGGAAGGAAGGAAGGAAGGGCACAGCAGTGTTTCTGCACAGAACATCAGCTCCTTCTTGAGGAAATCTTAGAGTCCCCTTTGTACTCAGTTCTCATCCCCAAGGGGAACAGAAGGAGGTAGGGAGACTCTGTGGGAAGCAGGCCTCTAGTGTCTCTGTGACTTCTTAGCTTTTCTCACATGCTAGGAAGAAACTGAAGGAGGGGGGCAGCTGGTTCTCAGGGAACTAGCTGAGCCCAATCAAAGCCCCACCCCACCCCTGTGCTCATGGTCTGCGTCTCTGAACTGCAGGGGTGTGGTGTGGAGGTAGTGAGTTAGGAGTTCAACTCAGGCAGATCTCAAACGCTAGCTCCCTTCCACTGAGTCTGTATGGAGACAGGCTGTAAGGAAGAAGACCATAGTTTTTAAAGAGAATTGGGAAAGAAGGAGTTTCTGGTGAGGACCAAGCGGGATCTTGGCGGAGACACCTGTCTCAGAATCCTGCCTCAGAAGCTGACGCTCGTGCTTGTTTGTTTCTAAGTCCTGCGAGACTTGGAATCTTGCTCATTTAAAACAAGGCAGAGGGAGACCATCTCTGCCTGTGTGAGCCCACGCCTCCTGGTGGCAGAGTGGAGACCATCTCTGCCTGTGTGAGCCCACGCCTCCTGGTGGCAGAGTGGAGACCATCTCTGCCTGTGTGAGCTCACGCCTCCTGGTGGCAGAAGCTGATAGCAGCTGCCTTGTCCCTGCAAACAGGCTAAAGAGTAAGGCAGAGCTAAAGTTGAAAAAAGCACAGGGCAAACAGCAGAGAGACTGGGCATGGACTGAGAGATGGTAAGAACGATTCAGTGAGGCCGTAGGCAGTGAGGAGGCGTGCCTACAGCTACCAGGAAGAGTCATGTCCAGGGAGCTCTGGCTGACTCCCTGTGACTGTGGTCCAGGGCCATTCTGGAGAAGGTCAGTAGGTTACAACCTCCCCTGAGCCCTAGGCTGCTCCCACTAACACGCCTCACCTGTACTTGAAGGTAAACAGCTTCTGGCAGATGGCATGTGGCAGTGAGAAGAAGGTGGCCATGACCCAGATGACAGCAATATAGATGACACCCTTGGTGATGGAGATCCGAGGCTTCAAGGGGTGCATGATGACCTAACGAACAAGCAAAGGGTGTCTCCACTGAAGTCGGAAGCAGGTAAGAATCTAGGCAGCCTCTGAGCTGCACCAGGCAGCTGAGCATCAAAGGGAGCTCAATCTGACCTCAGTTCGGCTCCAGGAGGTCACGTGACTCCTGGAAGTCCCAGGGCCTCTTGCAAGTGAGGAGAGCAGGGTAGGGGTGAGGGGAGGGTACAAACCTGGCAGAAGGGACCCCAGGCTCAGCCCCACCTCCAGAAGGTCAGTGGTTCCAGACTCTGGATGATATGGCGGGTTCTGACCATGAGGGGAAATCTCCTGTCACCCACTGCAGAAGTGGATTTGACAGCACCTATTAAAGCCATTACTAAATTCCAACACAGACCGGCTTCCACACATTTAACAAGAAGCCAGTATCACAGGTGTGGGGCAAAATTGCATCTTGGAATTGATATTGTGTGGCAGTCAATCAACTCTTCTAAGAGGCTTAAATAAAGATGGACGTTAACAGTGTTTCCATTTGTGAGACTGGGTCCTGCAGCAGAGGTACCCAGATCTCTGATGAAACTAGTGGGGGTTGACTAGAGGTAGCTGTGTGCAGGATTTTCTCAATTGACTTTGATGCCTTTGTACTGTGTGAAGACTTGATTCTAACGTGATCGTGGCATTTTGGCAACAGAAATATCTCAAATTTGGACAGTCCATGTTTCACCTGATGTGCAAACCCCTTCAAGAGCATCCTAATCAAGTTGCCATCCAGAGGCACTGAGATGTGGCTGGTGACATGAGGCACTGTGGACCATTTATTCCTCCAAGAAAATCATTCCTCACAGTACATGATGCTTTCAGTGTGGGTCTTTGAAATCATTTTTCCGTTGGCCCTTATGCTTCTCAGATCATCTCAAAGCAAACCGTGATTGTCTCCATCCTAAAGATACTTGCCTCGTGAGTCTGCTTAAATTATCACAGAGCAGGAAAGTCTAGTGGTCAGAGCATGGCTTGGAGCCAGACAGATGTTGATCCTCATTTTAGTCAGGTCATACGATCATAGGAAAGCTATGTATGTGCATTTCTGAACATGTTTCCTGACTTAACATGAAGAAAAAGAAGGAAAAGTAGAAGAAGAGGCAGCAAAAAATAATTTGTGGTTGGAGTCACCACAACAGGAGAAGCTGTATTAAAGGGGCACATTATTAGGAAGGTTGAGAACCACTGAATAATCATCATTATGTGCTCATGAATCACAGAGTTAGCAAGTACCTGGCCCTTCCTAAATGGATGCCCTTTGGTCCTCTTTGAGTGCCTACCACCTGTGGGCATTACCCCACATACTCACTCCTGTGCTACCACATCTTGCTTGCTCCTGCCACCGGGACACCCTGGTTTGTGTTCCTCCTACACAGTCTGGGCCAGAGACTCCATCTCCCACTTGAAAGCTTTCTCCGACCTGTAGTTCTTGCTTCTTCCTTTCCTTCTGTAATTTTCTGGCTTTGATTTTCTACCACCAAAATAATTCATTAAATTTAGAGATGGGAAATGCCAGCAGTGAGTCTTCACTTTGACAACAAAGGGGAAATAACCTTTTGCAACCACCAAAGGGTTTAATATCCCTTGTGTCCTTGCCGGAATTGATCAACAAGGAGACAAGTGCACACGCTGACAGCTGGGCTGAATGAGTCACTGTTGTGAGAGCATTCCCTACAGACACCAGGCAGGCATAAACAGAGGGGGAGGATGGTACCAGGAGTGGGTGCCCTCACCTGGTGACGGTCCACAGCAATGGCTGTCAGTGTCAGTGCTGAGACGTGCAGAGAACAGTATTGGGCAAAGCGGCTGACATGGCACATCCCCTTCCCAAACACCCATGTGCTGTTTACAAAGCGAACCTGTGGGTAGAATACAGACATCAGGGGTGGACAGGATGGATACAGATGTCAAGGATAAACAGGATGAGTACAGATGTCAGGGGTGGACAGGATGGATACAGACATCGGGGGTGGACAGGTTGGGTAGGATACAGACATCGGGGGTGGACAGGTTGGGTAGGATACAGACGTCAGGGGTGAACAGATTGGGTAGGAAACAGACATCAGGGACGAACAGGATGGATCCAGACATCGGGGGTGGACAGGGTGGATGGGATACAGATGTCGAGGTGGACAGGATGGGTAGAATACAGACATCAGGGATGGACAGATTAGATACAGATGTCAGGATGGATAGACTTTGACTGACACCCAGCTCAACCTCAGTGGTCTCTGAAGAGCATCTCTTCAGGAGGCCTCTCAGCTCTCCCAGTCAAGGAATAGTCCAGCTACTGTAGCACACAGCACATGGCTTTCCCCCAACATAACCCATTCTTGATCATTGAGTTCACCAAACCCCAATCATGGCCCTGGACCATCAGGATCAGAAGAGTTTGGGAAAGGTGTGAGCTCGGGAGGCTAGCCTTTCCACAGCTATTCATTGCTGTGCAGCCTTAGTCGGTAAACTCTGTTAACCTCAGTTTTCCCTTTTGCAAAAAAAATGGTTTCAGAACACTTACCTGAAAGGCTTATTGCAAAATCTGTAAAGATGGGAGAAATTGCCCAGCAAATTGTTAGGAGGTGATTATTAGAAATTGGAGGCTGACATTTTGAAGTGTAATAAAATTCTTGACTGAATGGAACCTGGTCTAACAGGGAAACATCTCCAAAAAGTCATAATATAGCATTTTAACTGTGCTTAGAAGGGGTGTGTGTGCGTGCGTGTATGCATGCATGTGTGTGTAAAGGATCCGACACAGAGTAACACAGTGTCAAGCAATCCACCACTGAGCTACACTCAGCCTCATGTGTATGACGTTCTTGCAGTTGACCACCTGAGCAGAGACATCTGGAAAAGCGAAGGTTAGGGTGGGGAGAAACAGGACCCTTGGGGGAGACAAGGTCCTCCTTCAGCAGCATGCAAGGCTGTGTGCTCACTCAAGCCTGGAGCAGCCCCTGTGAGGAACGCCTTGTGTCCAGGAGAGATGGAGCATCAGTTCTGACCAAGGCACACCTGACCTGGAAGGGGACTGAATGTAGAGCGTACCCCCTAGAGGGTCAGACACAGCGCAAATGGGTCACCCGGTGGGAGTGGAGTGGGCAAAGGAAGAGAGACAGGCGTTCTCTCTTGACTTGGATTGACAGAGTTTGTCACTCACTGCCGTCACCTTAGTGGACCTGGTAAGGCAGATCCGAGGATGCGCCAGCCTTGACAGATACACAGGTAATGCCTCTAATTGGTATCTGAAGATCATCCTCTCCGGAGGCTTCTTAGCCCTCCCAGCCAAGGAATATTACAGGCACTGTGCTGAAGTATGGGTCACTGGGCTTTCCCCAGCATTGCTGATTCGTTCCCACTCTGGGGTCTCCGAGTCTTCTCTCCTGCACCTGTGAAGCAGGCTCACACTTTCACATATGAAAATCATGTCTGGTAGGAAGCAGGTGTAGAGTGTGTACAACATGCCATACTTAGCCAGCACCTTAGCCTCTGAACTGCCGTTCTGACTACACAGGATGTATTTAAGATGAGCGAGGACTCACATAGGAGGAGCCTAGGACAGCAGCCAACAACTGTGGATCAGGGTCTGTTGGGAAATGAGGAGTGGGGTGTTTGCCTGGCCTGTGTACAGGAAAGTTGGGTCGAGTTTGGCTACCTCTCCTCAAGGAGACAGAAGACCCAAGGCTTTGCCCTATGCCCTGGAGGAGCCACTGAGGTTACAAAGCAGCCCATCCTCAGCCCCTCTGCCTCCCACCCACAATCAGCAAGTGAGCAAAGCAAAACTTCTGGTGGGACACCACCCTTCCCACCTCCCGGAAACTCTCTGCTCTTGATCTCGCCCCCACGGATTCAAGTGGAACATGGCTGCTGGCACGTGGTACTCACCCAGATGAAGACAGATGTTTCAGGAGGCCCCAGGCCTGACACACTTGGCCCAGCCTCTCTTTCCAGCCCACCCCACCTTCCCTTGCCCACTGTGATGTGTTTTTGGTTCCTGCACCTCCACCTTCACCCGGTCACTCGGCGTTCTCGCCACACAAGGTGCGCTTCAGTGGCTCCTCCTCGGGTTTTTCCTGCTCCCTCTGCATTGTGTGTACTGGTCATTCGCTTCCACCCAGGAGACCTGGCTCTTGTACAGTTGCTGAAATGTCACCGCCTTTGCAGAGTCTCCTTTGACCTCTGCTGAATCGGGATGAAGGCCCGCCTCCTCCAGATCCCACTGCATGTCTACATGTCTGTCTTGGGAACTACAAGCAAGTGTTTATTATTGTCTCCATGATCAGAGAGCCAGTATTCATGCTGACTGCCGTAAAACAGGGGCTGGGAAGAGGGGCCCAGGAGGAGGGTACTGTCACCAAGCAGTCAAAGGCGATGCCTCCCCCCAGTGAGAAGGCAGAGGGATTTGAAGATCCCAGTTCTCACCACCTGTGTGCCCAGAGCAACACTCTGTAAGTTCTACAGGAGCTTGGACTGGGGAGGTTCCATGGGTCAGGTTCAAAGCCAGGCTGCTCTATTTTGTCTTGTAGGAAGGGCAGAGTCCCTTCCCACAGGAGGTCCCTGGGTCATTCAGCTCTCAGCTGTCACTGCTTCTTTGTCCCTTCATGTCTATGTATATCTGACCCTGCAGCCCGCCTCTGAACAACAGCCACGAGGCCCTGGAATCTCGCAGCTCCCATCTGAGACCCACCCCAGCTTACCCTTTCTCTGATAAGAAGGCAAGGGAGGAACCACAGAGAGCCAAGATGCAGTGTTTCTAAGGATCAGCAAGGCACAGCACATTATTGGGACACCTTCACGTCCTTGGTCAGTGCCTAGGGGATCCTGAGTGGCCACTGATCGAGCGATTGGTTAGTATAGGCTGAGGGAAGTTGGTGTCTTGGAGCAGTGGAAGCAGAACATGAGTCAGGAGTCCCCACTCCCACTGGCGACTTAGTGCACACACCAGGGGACGTGAGCAAAAGGACACAGTTCTCCTGGCTCTGCAGGTGGCCGTGGACAAGACCGAGGTTTCTGTGCCTTTGTTTCCTTATATTATGTGAATAGTCCCTCAGAAGGGAGAGTGGGAGAAAGAATGAGAATGTTTTGAAGGTGGAAAATTTGGAAGGACATCACATGGACCAATGGATTTGCAATGATCCATCTTTTTCTGTCTTCATTTGTATGTGAGATAATAGATAGATAGATATTCTGCTTGGTTAATAACTCTAATAACATGTTATTCCATACGTTGAAAGGGATGTAACTCTGCTATAGAAATGAGCTGTCTGTCACTGGGATTGCTCAGCCACACCCTCACTATTTCAAACCATCCATAAACTACCTGGTCACTAAGGGACAGAGCAGCACCTCTGCTGAGGAGCAGAGGCTCAGAGAGGGAGCCACTAGCGTACCCTGTGCAAATGTCCCACACCCCGGGCTCCAGGCCACCTCTATGTTATTCCCTCCCAGAACAAGCATCCAACAGGGCTTCCCCGTCAAGCCGCCAAGGGAACAGAGCTGAACCCATCAGCATCCAGATTGACAGCTGCTGCTCCAGACAACCCACCAAGCAGCACTGGGAATGGGTGGGAGGCAGGCTCTTCACAGGCTGACTTGAGGGACAAGAAGTGACCTAATAACCTCTGCTAACATTGCAGGGACCCGATTTATTGTTCGCTCATTTCAAATGCCTGTGATCAGGGAAGTCACACAGTGAATGGGCAATCCTTTAGAGCCAGCTGCGGACACTTGACTCATGAATCAGTGCCTCCAGCTGCAGAAACTCTGACTTGGAAAGGAAGAGGAAAAAGAAAGAAGGGGAGACAGAGGAGGAAGGAATATTGAGGAGTGACAGGAAAGAAAAGACTCTCAAAGATTAGGACATGAAGAGAAAATAAAGCGGAGGAGGAAGGAGGTGGTGAGGAACTGGAAGAGACAGAGTGACAGGCAGAGAGAGAGGAGAGAGAATAGACCCATGCGTCAGGAAAAGAGAAGCCCGGGAGGGCCTATCCTTACCAAAGTGAATGGCGTGTTGAGCAACGTGATCATGATGTCTGCCACTGCCAGGTTGACGATGAAGAGGCTGGTGGCAGAATGCATGCGCTGGTTCTTGAAGATGACATGACAGACCAGGACATTGCCGAAGAGCGAGAAGACGATGATGAACGAGTAGGCCACGATGAGAAGGGCTTTCACCGTGGGGTTCTGGGACTCGGCCCCATAGCGTCTCCTACCCACGAAGTTCTGCCAGTCGGAGAAAGTGTAGTTGGTCCAGAAGTGCGAAGCATTGGTCCCGGTCAGGGATGCCTCCATGCTCGGATGCTCAGTGACGACCTGCGGCTGCTCGGTGCCTAGCACCGAGGACAGGAGAAAGAGCAGCAGGACAGGAGGGACCATCATGCCCAGCCACCGCGGCTCTGGACGCAAGGGTCGGACTCCCCGCCGGCTCGGTGCGTGAAGGCTGGCCGCGGGGCGCTTAGCACACCGGGCTACAGAGGTGCGCAAGGCAGAAGGAACCAGAGCACGAGGGGCGCGGAGCACAGAAGGAGCCCCGACCTCGGAGAAACCTGGACCACGCCGGGTCCCGACTGGAAAGGCCACCGAGATCCGCAAGGAGTCCGGACCGCAGAGGGAACTCCGGAATGCAGAGGACTGTGCTGACTGCCACCCGCCTCTGTCACCCAAGCCCTCGGTGGCGCTCGCCCGTTCTCGCAGCACTTTTATACCTCTGCTCCCGCAGCGGCCAGTGCGTCTCCGCCTATAGGGCTGTGCAGCGTCTCTTCGCTCCAGTGACGCGCTCAGCTCCAGCCGCCTCTCTCCCGGCTTGCGGCACCGCAGTCCCCAGCGCAGCCTGCGCTGGCCCCTCAGCACTGCAGCCCGGACTCGGATCGCCCTCCCTCACGCTCACCAGCTTTCTTTCTGTACAGTAAATCAGAGAACAGGTGGAAGCAGCCTTGGGGACTATTTGGGGTCACACACTGCAAGGCCGGGTTTGTGCAGTCCAAGGATCCACCACGTTGGTTTCCACCTGATCTGTAGCCTTGGCACATTCCCAATACTGAAGTGGTTCCTGATCCAGGTGGATCCTGGGATGCGGCAAATCCTGAAATAGACCTGGAATATTTCTCTCTAGCTAAACCTTAGACTCACTGCGGGCTTAGTCAAGGCCTGTTGGGAATGTGACATGGGTGCTGATGTCTTTAAAGGAAACTTCAAACACTTCTTGTCCACTCCTCTGGAAAACAGTTGCTTAGCTACCATAGAGTTCTGGAAGCTGCCCTCTCTCACCAACCTCCCGCTTCTCTCGTGAGACTTTTTAAATTTGTTAAATTTGTTAATTAGTTAGTTAGCACACAAAGTAGCGGTTCGGTGTGTGGTTTGCATGGGTATACATTGTTATACTTCAGTCCTATTCTTTTCCTGGCTTCTCACCCCTCTTTCCGGTCCCCTTCCTCTGGCAGAATATTTCTTCCCGCTTTCAGGCTATGCGAGCTTTGATTGGCTCTCCATGAGCTACCCAATCTTGATAGACAATCCTCAGCTCCTCATTCTGTCCGTGAACCTCTGGAGATTTTCTAGTGTTGCCTAACTCTGGTGAGCAACCTTCAGGTTGAGACTGGAATACAGATGTCTCCAACACAGGCGCCCTCGGGGGTTTTCACTTGGACCCAAGAAAGCATGCGTTTTGTCTCAGGCTCGCCCCACCAAGACTGCAGCCATCTCTCACCGTGGACCTTTTCCAGGGGCAGTGAGGGTTACCCTGTGCACTCACTGTGGCTGCGGGGACACAGACCAAACTCTCTGAAAATTAATTTGAAATGGGTCTATTAAATGTCACCATCATAAAATACAAGATGCTCTTTTCTGGGTTGGAGAGAGTTGGGGAAGTCTTTCCGTGGTGACGGACACTTAGGAGACAGAGTGGCAGGAATGAGTTCTCCGTGGGAACCATGCGCTCCCAGACATGGAGGAGATCAGCACTGTGATAGAGGTGGTGACTGCAGCGACGAAGAGAGGGCAGGGACCCAAACTTAAGGGTGTGCTAGGATAGGAACAATTCCCTTGAGAGAGACCACAACCAGTGTAGAACTTGACATAATCTGAGTTGTCCTTTTTCCCTCAAAGTGCGGGCAGGGGGACGAAAAAGGATGACAGATTGAGGGAGGAATCGGGATGACTGTGAGATTTTCAATTTGGTTGAAGCCCAACACAAAACCCATCAAGGAGGGGAAGAAAGATGGCTTAGTGGTTAAGAGCACTGGCTGCTTTTCCAGAGGACTTGAGTTCAATTCCCAGCAACCACATGGTGGCTCACACCATCTATAGTGGGACTCAATGCCCTCTTCCAGCACAAAGTCAAACATGCAGATAGAGCACCCATATACATAAATGGATAAATAAATCTTTAAAGAAAAATAGTAAAGATATTTTTTTAAAAAAAATAAAGATGCCTCCTTTGATCTCAAGTTTCCTTGGAATTTTAGCCCACATTTCTCCATTATTTTATCAGAAAGTTCCAGAAAATGTCCTCATTTTCACACTGCATTCACCTTTTAAGCCACTGAATTTGGGAGTCTCCCAGCTCTGCAGATGAATCTTGTAGGTCCTACAGGGTTAGCAGATTAGAACAGGGGGATTGTGTACTTGATCACAAGGGAAAACATCAGACAGAATAAGTAACAAACGCTTGGTCAAAGTGGGTTTGAGAAGCAGAAGGCCCTGGGTAAGTCAGTTTTGGTGTTGGGAGACAGAAGCTGCACTCTTGTGCTCCAGAGAGATAGGATATATTGAGGATGCCAAGAGCAGGCATGCAGTCCAAGCCATTTACTCTTCCTTAAGTAGACAGTCTGCACACAGCTAGGCTGGGTCCCGGACCACTCCAGGATCCCTAGCACAGCAACTAGGCTAGTTTACCCTGGTCTTTACCAAAGCGAGAGCTTCCCTTGCCTAACTCCACACCAAGGCTGAGTTACTCCAACGTCCTTCAAAGGCTTATTTGCTGATCTATAAGTTACCATCACATTGAGATTATGGGGAGACAAGAACTGTTCTTTCAGAAGGAGCCAACTATGTTTGTGCATTCTGAATAAAGAAAGTCGAGGATGTCTGTGTGTGTGTGTGTGTGTGTGTGTGTGTGTGTGTGTGTGTGTGCAGTCAGAATGTGAAAAGGGCCCTCAGACTGCTACATCTCTAGTAATAATCACACAATCAAACATGCCCAAGTGCACAGTCTAGGGTTCACTTCAAGCTGTCTGGAAGAGTCATAGGCCATTACTTTGCAAGTATATTTCCTCAAAAACTTATATGACACCACATAATGGTTCAAAGAGGTGTTTCTAAACTATAATAATAAAAACATTAGAAAGTGAAAACAATAAAAAAATTAAAAGAGTAGTTTTTGGAGAATCACATTGTGGTGGTTTGAATAAGAATGGCCCCCAATTCAAAATATATTTGAATAGCTGGTCATCAGGGAGTGGCACTACTTGAGAGGGATTAGGAGGTGTGTCCTTATTGGAATAGGTATGGCACTGTTGAAGGAAGAATGTTGCTAAGGGTGGGCTTTGAGGTTTCAAATGCCCAAGCCAGCCCCAGTGTCTCTCTCTTCCTGCTGTTTGCAGGCCCAGATGTAGAACTATCAGCTCCTGCTCTAGAACCATGTCCCCACCACAATGCCAATGAACTAAATGTCTGAAACTGTAAACATGCCCCAAGTAAATGCTCCCCTTTGTGATGGAGGAAGGTCATCTGTCTATGTGTTACTTTCATTGGCTAATAAAGAAACTGCCTTGGCTTTTGATAGGACAACAGCTTAGATAGGTAGAGTAGACAGAACAGAATGCTGGGAAAAAGAAGCAGTCAGGCAGAGGCAGCGAGTTGCCCACCATGAAGCTGCCAGATCAGACATGCTGAATCTTTCCCGGTAAACCACAACCTTGTGGTGACATACAGATTATTAGAAATGGGTTGAATCAATATGTGAGAGTTAGCCAATAAGAGGTTGGAGGTAATGGGCCAGGCAGTGTTTAAAAGAATACAGTTTCCGTGTAATTATTTCAGGGGTAAGCTAGCTGGGAGCTGGGTGGCGGGATGTGGTCCGCTGCTCCTTTTACACCTTTGTATGAATTACTGTGCTCATAGTGTCTCTTCATAGCAATATAACCTGAAGACTAAAGTTAGTATCAGGAGTGGGGCTGACAGGCTTGCTGTGACAAGTTTGACTATGCTGCTTGTCGGTAGAATGTAGACTTTGGGCTTTGGATTAGGAAAGCAATTGAAAACTTTAAGCAGGGTTAAATGGGCCATACTAGTAGAAGTGTGGAAGATAGTGATGCTGAGAGAAATATGGATTATGATGACCTAACTCAAGGGGTTCCAGAGAATACTAGGAAGTGGTTTACAGACTATTCTTATAATATTTTGGCAAAGAAAGTGGCTGTTTTTCTCTCTCTTTTCCTAAAAATCTTCCTGAGTCTAAACTGAAAAGTTTGGGTTAATGGTATTGGCAGAGGAGATTTCAAGACAGCCTAGCATTGTCTCTGTTGTGTGGTTATTAGTGATCTCTTATGCAGATGTATAATGACAAGGAGCAAGCTGTGCAAGGAAAAATACAAAATACACTGTTTGGGGAGAAAAGGAGCATCAGGAAGTGTAATAGAGCTAAGTCTAGAGCTCAAAGAGGTGAAAAAGCCTGATGCCAATGGAATACAGAGAGTGGTGACCTCAGGGCAGGACTCCACCCAGTAAGTTTCCAACTTCCAAAAGGAGTTTTAAAAAGCTTAAACACTGAGGGAAATGATTAATGACAGAAAACTTACGCTGACATATTTCAAGGAGGGAGCCACATTCCAGCCCCAGCAAGCACCAGAACTTGGCGCTTCAGGCATGTAGTTTTGGCTTTTGAACCAAAAATACAAGGAAGGTGCTGTGGAATCTCCCTTTGAGGAGAAAGAAAGCTCCTGAGGCCAGACATCTGTCAGGGGTGCCCCTGCACCAAGGCCGAGAGAGGCCACTGCCTGAAGCTGTGAAAGTGAAGCCTGGATTGTGTTGGGGACTCCAGGATGTTGGAGATGCAAGAGCTGTGAAGGCCTGCCAAGGAGAGCTGCTAGCAGGGAGCAGAACCAGCCCAGGAGAGAGAAGTGTGCTGCAGCCAGCACAGTTGAAAGGAGTCAGAGACCCAAAGATCTCTTTGGCGTCAGATATGAGATGCAGACTTTGGAGTTTGCGCAGCTGGTTTTCAGTCTTGGCTTTGTCCATTATTTCCTCATTATGCTACCTTTTGGAATGGTAATATATTTTATGCCATTGTATGTCAGAAGTATGTTGTCTGATTTTTTTATTTTGATTTTACTGGGAGTTACAGTTAAGAGATTGCCATGAGCCTCAGAAGAGACTTTGAACTTCAAACTTTTAAACAGTGTTGAGACGGTTATAGACTACGGGGACTTTTGAAGTTGGACTGAACACATTTTTGGATTATGATATTGCTACAAGCCTATGGAGCCAGAGAATAAAATGCGGTAGTTAGAATAAGAATGGCCATCATAGGCTCATATGTTTGAATGCTTCGTCATCAGGGAGTGACACTACTTGAGAGGGATTAGGAGGTGGGGCCTTGCTGGAGTAGGTGTGGCCTTGTTGGAGGAACTATGTCACTGAGGGAGGCTTGAAGGTTTTAAAAGTCCATGCCAGATCCAGTGACTTTTTCTTCCTGTTGCCTGTAGATCTGGATGTAGAACTCTCAGCTATTTTCTAACACCATGCCTGCCTGCACACCACCATGCTCCCTGTCAGAATGACAATGGACTAAATCTCTAAAATTGTAAGCCAGCCCCAAACGAATGCTTTCCTTTA